CGGCCCGGCTCGGCTCGGCTCGGCCCGGCCCGGCCCGGCTCGGCTCGGCCCGGCTCGGCCCGGCCCCGCTGTGTGGGCTGGGCCCGGCCTCTGCGCCGGGTTACGTCCTGCTCGGCCCAGAGCCTCGCGCGTCCGCTCAGCTGGACAGTGCTCGTTCGTCTCCGCTCGACTCCGCCGTTCGGCCCCGTTCGGCTCCCTGGAAGCGGGGCGGGGCGAAGAGGGAGGGGCGGGGCGGCGAAGGGAAAGGCCAGGAGAGGGGGCAGGGGCGGCCCGGCAGGGCCCCGGCGTTTGGCATGGCACAGACGTGGAGTGCGGGTGCCGACTGTTACACTTACGCGCTCGCAGCTACTGCGTGAGGCTACCTGAGAGCACCGCCGCCCCTCCAGCCTCGGGAGCCCAGCGCAAGGAGCGGCGGGGCCGGGGCCGCCGGAAGGACAGCCGCGCCGGCCCCGCCCCTTCCGGCGGTCCAGGGCTCGGGCGGTGCCGGCTCCAGCGCGGGCTGCGTTCCGGGCCGCGGGCCGCCTGTCCAGGCCTCGGCCGCCGGCGCCGGCGCTGCCGCCGCCACGGCCACGGCCTCCCGAGCCCGACGCCATGGCCGCTGCGGCCGGGGACGGCGCGGTGAAGCCGCTGCAGTGCGCCATGAAGCTGGCCAACGGGGCCATCGAGCTGGACACCGGCAACCGGCCCCGGGTGAGGCGACACAAAGCGAGGCGGGGGCGGCGGCCCCAGGCGCCCCCCGGGCGGCCGTCTGCCCGGGCGCGGGGGCGGCGCCGGGGGTGGGGGCGCCGTCCGGGACCCCTCCGGGGGCGCGGGGCGCGGGCGTCGGCGGTGACCTTGGACAGCTCCCCGCGCTCTGCGGGCGGGTCTCCGTCTGCGAAGCGGGGACTTGCAACCGGGGCTCGTCTGCAGGGGGGGGGTTCAAGAAGCAGCAGTTCCCTGTGTGCTGTGTGTTTTCCTGGGAAGACACTGCAGCTTTAATCGGATTCCCCAAAGGGGCGGAACCCTGCAAAGGGTAACTGAGGCTCCTCCGTGAGGCGTCTTGCCAGCACGCCTGTTGGGAGGGAAATGCGGGCCGGGTAGCGTGGGCGTTAATCCAGACGGTGGCGGCCGCGTGGACTGCCCACGGACAGGAGAGGCCGCCTATGCCCAGGAAGAGCCTCCTGCTTCCTCAATGGGCTGCTCTCCCGAAGTCGGGTTTCTAGCACCGCAGGTGCCCCACAGGTCAGAAATCCTTTCTGGAACCCGTTTTATCGTTACCTCGGAGCTGTAGACCTAAAGAGGGTTAATTTGACAACCGGGATGCGACAAGAGGTCATGCGGCGGTTCCAAGTGCCTGGTGCTCTGACTCGGAACCCTGCAGACCGTCAGACCCTGGTCTAGTATTCGAGATTGCGGCGTGCTCAGGGGGTTCAGGAGAGGGATTTCCCAGAACCGAAGCCAGAAAGTGATTCTGAGATTTGCAACATCAGTTCCTCAGTAACTCCCGGGAAAGTTGTGTTTTTTTCAAGCCACTGACTAAAGAGCCCCTGAGTTGCTCAGGAAGGAAACCTGTTGCAGAGTGAACACGACAGCGACTGTTAGGACTGCTTCTCCTGGCGCACTGGAGAATCTCAGTTCTTCCTGTGCTGGGAACAGGCAGTGAGCGGAGGGATGGGTGCCCTGCTGGGCACTGTTTCCCTTCAAGTCAAGAGAAGAGGGATACTATCTGTGCAGGACATTCCTGAGCACCTGGAGCAACTACCAGCTAACTAGCTCAGGCTACATGTCTCAGACTCAAGGGATAAGCAAGCACCATTTCTGTTTCCCACAACGGCATGAGGCAGGCGTGATGGAATTGTTTGCCATTACTGGCCTGACCCTTGCCATTTCTTTTCCCTGGGCACAGGAGGCATATACAGAATACCTGAGGAGCATCCACTATATCTCCCAGGTGCTGCTGGAAGAAGTGGAAACCACCAAAGGTACGGCTCTCAGCCTCACCACTCCTCCTGCGCTGAACAAATGATGGACAGCTTAGCCCTTGGTGGGTCTCAGGCCCGGGGGTGTCCTGTGTCCTACCCATCCGTCGTTAGCAGAAGGTGAATGGGTGAACACTCAGCACGAGCTGTCGTAGTGTGATGTGGGAGCAGGAAGGGATGGGTGCTCTCAGGGGATGGACATGGGATGGGGCATAACCGAGACTGGACTTCGAACCCCGGCCCAGGAAGGAGTGAGCTGCTGAAAAGTCAGGGGCTGGGGGCAGCACTCCCAGCAGAGGGATGTGCACAGGCCCTGAGGTGAGAGTGGGTGCTGGGTACGGCAAGAGTAGGTGCAGTTGGGGCAGTCACGGCCTTGGGTGGAACTGGGGTCATTGTGGTATAAGGGGAAGCTTGTAGAGGCTTTGTGGGAGAGAGGCCAGCATGGAAGCAGAGCCTCCAGGAGGCTCCCACGGTGAGGACAGCAGTGATAGGACGAATTGGAAATGGAAGGAGTGAAGGGCTTGGGGACATTCTTTAAAGGTAGACCTTGGGGCGCCTGGGTGGCTCAGTCTGTTGGACGTCTGCCTTTGGCTCAGGTCAGGATCCTGGAGTCCCGGGATCACGTCCCGCATCAGGCTCCCTGCTCAGCGGGGAGTCTGCTTCTCCCTCTGCCCTTCATCCCTCTCGTGCTCTCTCTCTCTCTCACTCTGTCTCGCAAATAAATAAATAAAATCTTAAAAAAAAAAAAAAGTAGACCTCACAGATTTGCTGGGGGCGGGGGATGAGCTGCTGGTTGGCAGGGCAGGGGGTGGAGAGAGTGAGCCACTGTTTGGTGGGGTGGGGGGGGGACAGTGAACTGGGGGGAGACTGAGGTGCAGAGGGCTGGTCCAGGGGGTGGCAGGAGCAGACTTGTGTGGGAAGAATAGAGAGCTCCATCATGAGCATGTTGTGCTTGAGGTGCTGAGCACCCTGGTGGCTATGGGACCGTGATGGCTAGGGAGGGGTAGGGGTTACCAGAATCACAGCTGCCCCAGAGAGGCAGTGAGCTTAGCAGAGCTCTGGGCACTCCAAGATGGAGGCCTGGGAGGAGGGCACAGCAGTATGGAAGAGACAGACCCTGAGAGGTCGAGGAGCCCTCAGAGAAGGACTCGACATGAGGGTATTAGGGGGTTTCAGTGGGAGTCAGAGGGCTAAAATAGGATGCAGTGAGAGGCTGGCTGTAACGCGAGCATAGGTGGGTCAGGAACTACAGCTACTGGGGTCCAGCTCCTACAGCCCCTGTCTGCTGACGGGAGTGATCCCTGGAGGACGGAATGCAGAACAGAAGGCCCAGAGATGTGCCAGGGGTGGGGTCAAGCACAGCCAGAGGGCAGGAGATAGGTGGTAAAGTTGTCTCTGTGAAATGCTCCATGGCCACCCCAAGGCCCACCTTAAGGAGGGGCTGTAAGTACCAGGAAAGCGCTTGCTGAGAGAAGGCCTGGTTAGGGAGGAAGGGGGCTCTGATGGTCCAGCAGGGATGACAGGTCAGATGCTGGGCTGGCCAAGCTCGGAGCCCACACAGCATCAGGAAGCAAACCCCCCGCAGACGATCGGAAATGATGAGGAGATGAGGTGACCCAGAGGTCAGAGAGGAGGGGGCGGGGTGGCCTGGGGTGAGAGGATGAGGGTGGGGACAGGCTAGCATAGGGGTCAGAGGTGAGGAGGGGATGGGCTTGTCCTTGTGTTTATCTCAGCAAGAATCTCTTGAGCGATAAAGGTGATGGTGACCGGCTTTCTTGTCTCTTGATCCCCAGAAGGTGGCGACCCTGTGGCCCCAGATACCTCAAAGATGCTGAAACTGGCTGAGCAGTGTCTGGAGAGGGCCCAGTCGACAGCTGCCAAGCTCGGTGGGTCTCCAGCAGATTTCCCTAGGGCACTCCCCCACAAGTCTGCATCTCTGTGGGACACTGGACTCCGTGCTGCCCCTTGCTTGTGTACATCTTGCAGGGAAAACACACCTGAAGCCAGCCACGCCCGTGGGTGCTCCTGGCCCCTCGTCTACCAGCCGACATCGCCGGGTGTACTCAGATGAAGGGGGGAGACTATCTCCGTTTCTGCCGCCCGAGATCTTCCAGAAGCTTCAGGCGGCAGAGTCACAAAGTTCCAAAAAGTAAGAGGGGGCCAAATGGAAGGTGGGCTGAGCCTGGGTTTGAAGTCCAGACAAAGGGAGCTAACCAGAATGGTTTTAGTTAAAATGGGTCCGAGAATGGAAACAGCCTCGTGCTTGACAAAAACAAATGCAGATCCCCTTTGGACAAAAGCATGTGTACGAATGGCACACAGTCAGGTATAAGCAAGCACAGAAAGAAAGCAGAAACTTCGAGAGTAAGAGCAGAAACAGCCTGCAAGTATTCAGGTGGAGTTAGCAGACGTTTCGCTAAACCACCGTGCTCTCTACATTTACAGAAGTAAAAAGCACGTTTGAAAATAATGCCAGGGGACAAAAGAACCATAAAATCTGACCCAGCAGATAAAGAACCAAGTAGAAACAAAAACGATACCAAAATTATTTTTTAAAACTAACTGAAAACAATAACGACAAGTTATATCCTGCAGTGACAGTCCACACATGCACACAAAAACGAGTGGTCGATTTTTAACAGAGCAGACATAGTTGTGGAAAGAGTGAGTGAATTGATTAAAGGGTCAATAGACCCCCAGAATGACTCACAGAGGGGAGAGAAAAAAGAAAGTCGGAGAGAAAGATAGAAGATCTAACCTAAGATTATTGGAGTTCCGGGAAAAGAAAAGGAAGAAAGTGGGAGAGGCATTATTTGAAGAGCTAACAAGATAGAAGTTTCTGGAGCTGAGAAAAACGGTCAGATACAAGAATCCCCACTAGGACGGACAAGGCCTGGCTCCTCGTGGCCCTGGTGCTGCCAAGCCTCCAGGTCCACTGCCGCCCAGAGGTCCCGGGCCCTCACTTCTGCATGTGCAGTTTGGGGGCAGGACCAGGCACAAGACTTCCATCCCAGGACAAATTTTCCCTCAGCGGGAGTCCTCACAACTGACCGTCTCCCACCATGAAAGCATGAAGACCTGTGAGGCCAAAAGTCTGGGTGCGGGGTGGGGGTAGCTTTTGGTGGCCATTTCTACCAAGTATTCAGGGTTCTCTCTTTAATGGGTGGCAGATTCATCTAGTTGTTTGGCTCACATGAGTCCTTTAAAAAGTTTCATGTTGTTGCCAAACATGTATAACTGATCTGCAAAAAGTACGACGTCCAGCTTCTCTTGAAAAATCAGAGGTCTCAGCAACGGCAGGTCGAGGTCAGCAGGGCAGGGTCTCCAGTCCACCCCAGACCTCCTCCCTCCTTTTCCTTTCCTGCCTGCCCCCACTGCCACCTGCTCACCTGCTGGTCTCAGGGCACGCCCAGGGAGCATCTTCAGGTCACCAGAGCATTCCAGAGCTTCCTGGGGCCTGGACAGCAGCTCGTCACTATTTCCAGGGAGCTGACACCTCTGGAGGAGGCCTCTCTGCAAAACCAGAAGCTGAAGGCCGCCTACGAGGCACGGATGGCCCGTCTGGACCCCAGCCAGGCCATGCAGAAGACATCCCTGGTGAGTGGGTCCCGGGGAGGGTCTGGGTTGGTGCTGGAGCAGGAGTAGGCCTTATGTTCCCCTTCCCTCCCGAGACCCTGTCCCTGCAGCGGCAGATGATGGAGAACCTTGTGATCGCCAAAGCCCGGGAGGAGACAGTATCCTTTCCCTCCGTCCCTGGTGTCCTGAGCTGAGCAAGAGGGGGTGAGGTGGGAAGTGAAGGGCCGGAGTGGGGGCAGAATTCGCCCAGCTTCAGAGAGGCGTGACCTTGAGGGACGGCTCCTGCCCTGCCCTCCTGTTCCTCCTAGCACCCACGGGCCCCTCTCCAACCTTCCATTCGGCTAGGGCTTGCTTTGTTCCCTGAGCGAGCACCAGTCCTCAGGCCCGCCACCTCCCGTGCCCCGCCTGGCCTGACCATACCCCCGGATGCCCGGGGACTCAGTGCAGGCGGGCTGGGGGGGCCGCCCCACCAGACAAGGCCTTGACTCTGCCGCCCCAGCTGCAGAGGAAGATGGAGGAGCGCCGGCTGCGGCTCCAGGAGGCAGCCAACAGGTGCGTCTCCTCCCGTTGGTCTGGGGACAAGCCGAGAGGACTGGTGGGGACTTCCAACTCCTCCCCCAGCCCTAAGGTGCCCCACCTCGTCTTTCTCCCCAGGAGGTTCTGCAGTCAAGTTGCCCTGAGCCCGGAGGAGCGGGAGCAGCGGGCCCTCTATGCCGCCATCCTCGAGTACGAGCAAGACCACGTGAGTGCCAGGAGCTGCGGCTGGGCCTGTCACGGCTTGCTGTTTCCAGGGCCCGTTGGTGTTGGGTCTTCCTACGCCCCAGGGAGGGCACGGACAGTGTGGTGCTGGTCTCCTGGGGTGCAGCCTTGGTGAGGGGGCACGCAGGGACCTGGCCATGCTCTCCAAAGAAGTCCCCTGCCCTGCAGGACTGGCCGAAGCACTGGAGGGCCCAGCTCAAGAAGAGCCCAGGGGACCTGTCGCTAGTGACCAGCCTGGTCTCCCACCTGCTCAGGTACCAGGGCCTTCCACCCCCCTACCTCCTGGTTGGCCCTGACGGCCGGCAGACGAAAGGATGAGAAAGGAAAGGGACAGAGAGATGGGGGTGCCTGTATGGGGTGCCCACAGGCTCCCTCGGAAGGGCTGGGGTTGCAGACATCCTTTCCAGCCGCCTTCTACCTTCTCAGGGGGGTGGGTCAGACTTTATCTGCCACAGTCACTCACAAGGAAACTGCAAGCGTCAGTCCTCCGAAATGTGTCCGATGGGGCCGCGTGGTGGGCAGGTGGCCGGCGGGTGAGGGCGTGGCCACAGCGCTGCACCCCCACACCTCTTCCTGTGCTCGCAGCACTCCCGACCACCCCATCTCGCAGCTCCTGAAGAAGCTCCAGTGTGCGGTGTACCGGGCGCTGTACCCCATCGTGAGCAGGGGCGCTGTTGGCGCTGCCTCTGCCCCTGGCTGCCGTTCCTTGCCCCCAGACGCCGACGGGCTGCTGGCTCCGGGAAGCCGGCGGCTCCGGCCCTCGCAGAGCCTCTACTGCATGCTCTCCCCTGCGGAGCCCAGCCCAGCCCTGCGGCCCCCAGACGGCACTCAGGCCGGCCCCCCAGACAGAGGGCCAGACAGCAGCCCTGCCGGGCCTCCCTCACCCCTGGCACATAGCTTGACCGGTGTGCAGGGCAAAGACAGCTCCTTTGAAGACCTCGAACACTTCTTGGCTACTTCTGAGGGGTGGGGCCGGGGGCGTGGGAGGCCGCCTGAGCCCCACACAACGGGGGTGAAGAAGGAGCCGCTGCTGGAGCAGCTGAAGAGCACTGTGAAGGACATACACAACGCCATCGGTGAGGGCCAGCGTGCCCGCAGAACGGGGGGGCGGGGGGAGAGCTGCTCCAACTCTGAAGTCTGTGCCCCGCAGAAAGCTTTTCACAGGCCTAGGATGGGCCCTGGGGAGGACAGGCTTTCCTCTCGTTGGCGGCCAGCCACGCTGGATCTGCAGAGCCCTCCCTGTCCACCCTTCTCTGGGGCAAACTCCGTGTTTAGCAGACAGGAAGGCACCCTGCTCTGAGAGCGGCTGGGACCGGCTGTGGGCCCGAGGTCTCCCCGATCCCGGGTTGTCTGCTCCCTGGGCTGCACTGGGAAGGGTTTGGGGAAGGGTCCGCTGTCAGATCCTCTGCCCGCCAGGTGGTCCTGGCTGGCCCATAGGGTTGGACTCAGGTCATTCCAAAGCAAGGACCATCAGGTTTGTGCCGCCTGGTGGTGACAATTTTGAGAATTTTTCCATTTTGAGAATAGTGTGTGGATTCCCTAAGGGTTGGTGTCTAGGGTGGCTGGTGACTCCCAAGTCCCTTCCAAGGAGGAAGGCTTTCAGGGTTTTCTAAAAACCAGTGAGGGGGTCTCAACAGGGGGCTTGGAATACCTTTCGAGGTCACCTGGATGGGTCTCCCATCTCCCTGGGTCTCAGGTCTTGTTTTAAATATGCTTCTAAAGTTCTTGCAGGTTCCCTCAGTTTGGAGTACAAATCCCGTCAGAGAGAGGCTGTCCTTTGCCTTCCTCATTCTGTCTTCTTAGCTCCTCAGGGGAGCGGGGCATGCTTCCGTGAGCTCCTGGGTGCTCTGCCCCCAGACCCCGTGGACACAGAAGTGGGAAGCTTGAGGGGAGTGGAGGGAGGTTCAGGCAGACCCCCATCCCACCAAGCCGGAACGCTGTGGCGCTGTCCACACGGAGGGTGGGAGAGGACGGGGCGGCTATGGGGCCCACTTGGGCACCCCAGGCTGGCTGGGGATGACCTCCAGGGGCTGCCAGCCTGGGGCTGCAGGGCCCAGCCGTCCCCACAGCGCCATTGTGCCGGCTCTGCTCCCGGCAGACAGGCTGCTCTCGCTCACCCTCCTGGCTTTCGAAGGCCTGAACGTGGCCGCCTCCAAGGACCGATGTCTGGCCTGCATCGAGGAGCCCTTCTTCTCTCCACTATGGCCCCTGCTGCTGGTACTCTATAGGTACGTGCCCAGCTCCAGTCCCCCACGGATGGCCCCCGGGGCACCCTTCCAGCTGGTGCTTCACTCTCAGGCCATCCTCAGATGCCTCACCCACGCCCCTGTGACTTGGGGTATAGCTAGCTTTCCCTAGTCTTGCCTCCGTCCCTGGGGCAGGGTCCCCGGGCAGCTGAACCTGGCCTCTGTCTGCCCCAGGAGTGTGCACCGCCTCCGGGAGGCCGCCCTGAGCAGAAGCATGGAGCTCTACAGGAATGCACCCCCAGCCGCCATAGGCATTCCCAGGAAGCTCCTCCCCCGGGACCTGGAGGCCACAGGAGCTGGTGCCTACCCCTACTGTGCTGCAGCCCAAGAGCTGGGCTTGCTGGTCCTGGAGAGCTGCCCCCAGAAGAAGCTGGAGTGCATTGGTGAGGGGTTGCAGTTTGGGAGCACAGAAGGGGGAACATGCTCAGATAAGGTTCCATCCCACAGGTGACCTGGAGTCTGTTTGCCCTGAGCTGCAGACCCTCTTCCCGTCAAGTGGGGGTGTGTCTCACGGGCCATAAGGGGTGTGAGGGCACGATCGGGAGGGAGCTTCTCAGGGTGGGTGCCTAAGAGTTGCTGTGGCCTCTGGGCTGTCCTGGGATCGGCTCCGCTCAGCCCTCTCTTGAAGCCTCACTTCTGTGCCACAGTGCGGGTCCTGCGGGTCATCTGTGCCTGTGCCGAGGATTACTACCAGGCCCAGGAGGCTGCCCCTGAGGCCAAACCCCCAGTGGGTGCCGCAGCCATGTGAGTCCCAAAAGCACAGACTGGGGTGGGCACTGAGCATGTGGGGGACTGCCTGTAGAGGCCTGGGGGAGAGAGAGCCCTCCTGTCCTGCCCCAAGCAGCAGGACTGCAGGTTTCTGCCTGGATTCTGGGGCCCTGGGCCCCGAATCCCGCTGCTACAGTGAGCTTTGCAGGGTTCATCGTCCAGCAGAGTACCCCTGTCCACCAAGGGCTCAGGCTCCAGCCCCCATGAACGATGCATTCCCGCCCCTCTGGGCAGGGCTTCTTAGGAGTTAGGGAACACCTGGCTAATCTGGTGAAATTTAGGGTTGCTTGTCCCAGAAGCACGTGCTTGGTCCCTCGGTTGCACACTTTGGGGGAAAAGCCTCAGCCTCAGTGAAGAGCTTGCTCCCTGTGCTAAGCCCCCAGACCTGGGGTTCCTGCATCATCCCTGCCCCCACTTTCCTGAGGTGAGGCAGGGGTCTTCTCTACCTGGATCTCCGATGCCTGGTTCTGTGTCTTATCTGCATCCTCCTGGGGCCAGCAGCCTCTTGCCCTGGCCCCCATTTGAGTCTCGCAGCTCCTCAGCACCTGTAGGGGCTCTGTCTGTTGCCACCCTGCCCCAGGAACCAGTGTTATAATGAAGGCACCTGTCATTTGAACCTGGTGGGTGGGTTTTAGCACTTACTACACCCAAGGGCCTGGAGGTAATGGGCAGGTAGAAGCCAGAGTTGAGCATGAGATCAGCAGGTAAGAGCTCCACCCAAGGAGAAAGAGACAGATGGTTGGTGGTCATACTCAAGCCATAGTCTTTGCTCGATGCCTTTCCCGGAGACCACCAGCCTGTGGGCCCCATGGGCCAGGGTTCTGCGTGCCCTGCAGGGCCTCCCTTGGCACCTTTTTAGCTCCCCTAGATGCCTCTTGGGGGGGATCTCAGGTGCCTGGCTCCGGTCCCGGGTGTCAGCAGGCTGCCTGGGAGGTGGGCCGCCCCCTCCATCATCCTGCTCCCCAGGTGTGGGCAGGCACTGTGGGGGCAGCCCCTCGTCCAGCCGTGGGCTCCGCAGCACAGGATTCCCGTTCAGGGATGGCCTTGCTGCCTGTAGGGACTGCCCTGCGTCCACTCCCAACTCCCCCACACAGGCGGGCAGGAGGGGCGCAGGGAGAGCAGCTGGTCAGCCCTGGACCACTCCACAGGCTGAGCTGGGGGCTGCAGGGTTTGGGGGGTTGAGCAGCCATACTGGCCACCAGAGCCTACCGGCCAGCCCGTGCCTCTACCCAACAGCGGTGCCGACGACCTGCTGCCCATCTTGTCCTTTGTGGTGCTGAGAAGCGGTCTCCCCCAGTTGGTGTCAGAGTGTGCAGCCCTGGAGGAGTTCATCCATGAGGGGTAGGAGCCCCCGGCTGGAGTCAGGCCAGCATGATGCACTGAGCACGTGCTCCCAGGTCGGGGGTCCATCTGCGCACATGGCCCATGGTCCCCTCTCCCAGTCCCTTCCCACTTCCCCTTTCTCAGCATACTGCTTGGACAGGACCGGGGCGGGGGGGCATCCCTTGAGTAGCATCTGCCTGGGGAGTGGGCTGTCCTCTAGCCCAGCCTCCCTGACAGACCCCTGTGGGACCTCAGCATCCAGGTCCTGCCCCATGAGGGCAGACACCCCTTCCAAGGTGCTGGGGGCCTCCTTGCATCCCCTGGAGGTGACAGATGCTGCCTGGGCCCACCTCTTCACAGGTACCTGATTGGAGAGGAGGGTTACTGCCTGACGTCACTACAGAGTGCCCTGAACTACGTGGAGCTACTGCCCCGGGGGGCCCTGGGCAAGTAGAGGAGAACAGGACCTGCTGAGGACCATCCAGGAGTCACCTGCTGGGGTGGGGGGGCACTAGGCCAGCTGTGGTGGGGCTCTGCAGCTCTCACACTTGCCCTAACCTGACATCTGCCCCCAGGGACTTGAGGAGTCACCGCTGTTCCTCAGAGGCACCAGCTCCTAAGAAGTAGGCCCATCTCTTTCTTGTCTCAGACTGAGAGGCTTTGTGCACGAACAGCAGAGCTGTGGACTCCCCCTGGGGCCTGTACACGTGTCCTCACAGCCCCAGCCACTCAGCAGTAGGGAGGGCGCCTTGGGCCTGGCAGAGGGCAGGTCTGGTTTCTCTCTCTTCCCATCCCTGTGACAGTCAGCTTCCAGCACCAGTCGCTTGTTAGAGTCAAGAAGAGGGCCTGGCCCCTTCCCCTGCCTCCCACCCAAGGGCTGGGGCCCAGGTGGTTTGAAACTGTGCTGTTCACTTACTGGGCATTGATCATTCCATTCTCCTCTGGAGCCCAGGCACCCCCAGGGCACCCACCCGTGTCTGGGGCCTCTGAGCCACTCCGGCCCTTGGCACGGTAGGCATTGGACCCCTGGCCAATTCCCATCCCCGCATGTCCCCTTCTGGGTCAGCGTGAACCCAAGGGTCAGTGCCTGCCTGCAGCCCAGCGCCCACTTTGTTACGTGCCCCGGGCAGCCACTGACACAGCCAAAAATAAAGAGGTCACTGATCTCTCGTGCTGCACAGCTCGCGTGCTCGCCATTCCACTGGCCGCATGGAGGCCTGAGTAGCACAACCCCCTCCCCTGCTGACCAGCAAGAGCCAGACTGTCCCAGAGACCACCGCCCAGACCCCCTGGGACAGGACGTGCTCTGCAGGGCCAAGTGGGTTGGGCAGGACCTGGGACTGGACCTCTTGGCCTGAAGGGCTCTCGGGAAACACCTTCATTCTCCAGGTGGGAAACACACATGGGTGCCCTGTGCTGTGATCTGTGTTGCACCTGAAGAGGAGAAAGCAGGCAGCATCTGCCAGGGAAGGAGGGACCCCTGGCAAACCTGAGTTACCACCGAGGCAGGTGGTTTGGGCCCAGCCATCCCAGGGGCCAGTTAAGGGAGCAGTGTGCAGGGGAAAGGCTCTGAGGGGACAGCAACAGCAGTGGGTGTTTATTGGGTGCTCTGCAGGCCTGTCTGCCCAGGAATTCCATGAGGAACTGAGGCGGGAGCAGGGGAAGCACCTTCTCTAGGCTACATCTCATGATGGCAGAACTGGGTTTGAGCTCAGCAAGCCAACTCAAGAGGCCAACGGGCACCTGCAGTCAAGACCCCACAGTTGGGTGCTGAGCCCAGTGGGCTGGGGCAGGCCAACCCGGACCCCTGGGACAGCTGTTGTCTCTGGAGCTTTTGTGGCCTGTGGTCCTCTGCCTGTCAGTGCCCCCAGAGCAGACAAGCCAGCACCCGCCCCACACCTTGCCTTTGTCTCCCCACCCTTGGCCCCCCTGACATTCTGCTTATGCTCTTGTAAGTGTAGAGTTCTGAGTCACCCAGACCTGTATGAGAACACCAGCCACCATGGAGCCTTGGGAAGAAGAGGTAACATCCATGGTTCAGTCCTTGGCATTGACGTCTCAAGGATAGGATTTTAAAGGCCGCTGCATAGAGCAGATGGAGGATGAAGGTGTGTCTTCAGCGAAGCCTGATAGTGGAAGTACCTGCTGGCTTGGTGCTGGGGACCACACCTCTGGGGATGGGCCCCATACGGGCTGTCTCCTTGGCACCCTGTTCCAGGCGCTGCAGTCAGACAGGCTGAGCCCATGACTCTGAGTCCATGGTTCCTCCATAAAATGGATGAATAATCCACTCTTCCCACTGGAAATCCTGCAAATCAACAAGAAAAAGGCAGCAGTCCCAAATAGAAAAATAGCAAAGGCTATAAACAGATTGTCTACAGAGGAGGAAGGTTTTTCTGTTTGTAGATGTATTTATTTATTAGAGAGAGAGCATGCACGAGCAGGGAGGGGGCAGAGAGAGAGGGGGAGAATCTCAAGCAGAGCAGGGAGCCCGACACAGGGCTCAATCTCACAAACCTGAGACCACGATCTGAGCCAAAATCAAGAGTCAGACACTTAACCAACTGCACCAGCCAGGCGCTGCCAGAGGAGAAAGTTTTAAAAAACTAATTAGCACAAGAAGTGTTCAAAACTTTAAAAATCAATAAATGCAAATTAACACTGTAACAAGGTAGAATTTCATGTGCACTATACTGGTAAAATCCAAAAGCTAGGCAAAGCTGAGCATGGTGGTGTGCAGAAGCTGGAAACCATACGCGGGGCGGGGCGGGGGGGGGGCAGTTTCAGCAGATTCAAGAACTAGCTGCAGTCCTGGGCCAACGCAAATGCCAAATGACCCTCCGACCTTACGACCAGGTCATAAGAGGACATGTACGCAGATGGAGTCAGGCAATGTGGTATCCATCCCCAGGAGGGTCGAGGTGGAATGTGGTAAATGCACATGGTCCCACATCGATTGCTGTGTAACCAACCACCCCACCTCACCGGCTTAAATACAACAGTAGTCATTTACTTTGCTCATGAATCTTCCCGTTGGGCAGGGTTCCTTGGGGACGGCCCATCTCTGCACCCCCAGCATCAGCTAGGTCAGCTTCCAGGTTGGGTGACCCAGTGTCAGGGATTGGAATCACCTAGAGCTTTGTCTATGCGTCTGCAGTGGATGCTTGTCAGCTAGGACCTCAGTCAGGACTCACAACCACATTCTCAGACAGAACCATGTGAGGCCTGCGTTAGTTTCCTCTGGCCACCATAAACAATGCCACAAACTGAGTCAAGTAAAAAACTAGAAATGTACTAAAGTTCTGCAGGCTAGAATCTGAATTCAGGATGCTGATGGGACCATACTCCCTCAAAGTACTAGAGCAGAATCCTTGCTTGCCTCCAGCTTCCTGCTCCTACAATCCTTGGCTGGTAGCTGTAAGCAGAGCCCCACTCTCTGCCTCCATCACCATAGGCCTTCTCCCCTACATGCTGTGCCTAAACTTCTCTCTTCTTATAACATCAGTCGTATTGGATTTAGGGCCCATCCTAATTCAGCATGATTTCATCCTAGCTTGATTATATCTGCAAAGAACATGTTTCCAAATAAGCTCACATTCCCAGGTTCTAGGTGGACATGGACCTGGGGGGACATTATTCAACTCAGTGCAAAGTCTCTCCATGTGGCCGCCGGCTCCCCCACAACATGATGGCTAGACTCCAAGAGCAAACAACTCAAGACAACAAGGTGTTTTAATGACTTAACCTGGGAAGCCAAACAATGTCACCTCCATTCTATGGGTGCAAGCAGGTGCAAAGACCCGCCCAGTTTCAAGTGTCATACTGAGAAGAACCACACGTGCCGTAGAGTAGCAAGCAACGGTTGAGAGCAATTGCCTGGAGTCACACACAGCAACAGGACTGAGTGCAGAATCAAAGCAACAGAACCCCATCTACTTCAAGTGGAAGAGCAGGGGCTCTGCAGCGAGGCTGCGGATTCACCACACCGCAACAGCTGTCTTGGGGTTGGGGCTATGGCCATGGACGGATGCAATTCAGAGGCCTCGCATCTGAAGACCACGATGAATTCAGTGGTGAACTGAAGGGAGTGGTTAAGCTCCACCCTTCCGCACACAAGCCGGAGAAGACCAGAAGTTAACTGTCCCCTCATGGCTGGTGTGGCCCTAGGGCTGGGTTCAGTACCTGTAAGTGAATCGCCTCTATGTTGAGTGGTGGCCAGCAAAATGTCTCAAGGAGATCCCCAGCTTGATTCCAGTATTTTTCTAAAAGTCCCATTTGAAGTATGTGAAGACGCACCTGCAGGGTACTGCCAGGTGAAGGCTCTTATTAAGAGAAAAATCTTTCCCCAGGCAGGTCCCATCTCAACAAAGTGGTCTGGAGAGGTGAGGGGCCCAGAAATCAAGGGGCAGAGCCTGCTCAGGGAGGAAGGTCTACAGAAGACCTTCCTTGCATTGAGCTGGGGCCCCAAGGGCTAAATCTCTCCCAACCCTCCTCCGCCCAAGTGGCTTTAGCGCACGGGTCAGGCGCCCGGAAACGAGGCTGGCTTAGTTAGGGAGGGGCCTTCACCCCGCCTCCGGGACCCCCAGATGCTGCTCTCAGGGACCAGGAAGCTGAGCCCACAGAAAGACTGAGGCCGCCCCACCCACCTGAGGCTGCTGTTCAACCACGCAGAAACGCACCTCCCTGGGCTCACGGTGAGCTCTGGGCCCGGGTCGGGGCGCACTAGGAGCACCCGCTTCCGCCGCGGCGGGCGCTGCCGGGGCCTAGCTCAGAGGAAGGGGCTGCTCGCACGCACCGTTCCTCGTGCACCCGCCCAGGATCCGCCGCGAGCCGCCGGGCTGTCGCGGGGAGGCAGAAGATCGGAGGCAGGTGCTCAGCCGGGAGGCACGAGGCCCCGCCCCCAGCCCGGCCCCACCCGGGTGAGCCGAGGGGGCGGTGCCCGGCGGAAGCCCCGCCCCGAGCGTCACGGCCGAGGCCAGTGGGCAGAGCCGCTGGCGGCGGAAGAGCACGGCTGCGGGACGAGTCCGAGCGGAGAGGTGGCCAATTGGGCCCCGCTGGGGACCGACAGGTAGAGCGGTCCCTCGCGGGGCCCACAGCACAATCTGGTGGGCGAGGTGGGGGTCTGTCTTCGGCGGGGGGGACACAGCTGGCGGGGCGGGTCTCCAGGGAAGCGGGATGCTGTAGATACTGGGGGCCGCTCAGCTGGCGAGGTCGCCGGGCTGTAGGGGGACATGTGGACACTGGGGGAGGCTCGGGGGGGGGCGCACAGCCGGCGGGGACCGGGTCACCAGGCCGGAGGGGGATCTGTGGACGCTGGGTGGGGGCTCGGGGGGCCGCACAGCCGGCGGGGAGGGATCTCTGGTTCCTGACACCGTACCCCCGCCCGCCAGAATGGGCAGCAGCTCGCTGTCCGAGGACTACCGCCTGTGCCTGGAGCGTGAGCTGCGGCGTGGCCGCGCGGGCGTGTGCGGGGACCCATCGCTGCGCGCGGTGCTGTGGCAGATCCTGGTGGAAGACTTCGACTTGCACGGGGCGCTGCAGGACGACGCGCTGGCGCTGCTCACCGACGGCCTGTGGGGCCGCGCCGACCTGGCCCCCGCGCTGCGCGGCCTGGCCCGCGCCTTCGAGCTGCTGGAGCTGGCGGCTGTGCACCTGTACCTGCTGCCCTGGAGGAAGGAGTTCTCCACCATCAAGGTAGGGCGCTGGGCCGAGGGGGTGCCCCCGCTCAGGCTGCTGGGTACCGTGGGGCAGAGGGTACCATTGAACAAGGGATTTCATGTGTCTTCAGAGCCGGGTGGCCCTCCAGGGCTCAGAGGGGATTTGGGGCGCTTTGGGGCAGCTCTTGGCCAAGGTGTCCCCCGCCCCCCGCCACATACACTCCCAGGGCAGAGGCCACCCACCCTGGGTGCCTGCCTCCTGGGGAGATCCTTGCTCCTCAAAGCTTGAATCACTGCCCTCCCCCAAAGTGGCCTCACAGCCCCGGTAGCACAGAAATCCTAGGACAGGTGCATGGGAGGGACTTGAGGTTCCATGGTCACCCTAATCCTTCCGTGATCCCATTTATAGAAGAGGAGGTTGGGTGGGTGTACCCCTGTGAAGTGGGAAGGGGCTGGAGGCCCTGCATACTCTGGGGTCTGCACTGATCGCCCCTGTGGGTGAGCTGCTGGCCTGCAGGAGGGGGCAGGCCTACTTGGCCCTCAAAGCTAATTTGGAAGAGTAGGAAGGTGCTGATGTCATTGGGCACGTGGGCGAGTCCACCTCCACTGGTTGCCATGACAGCAGCAGCCTCTCTCTCTCTCTCTCTCTCTCTCTCTCTCTCTCTCTCTCTCTCTCCCCCTCTCTCCCCCACCCCTTTCCCTCTCCCTCTCACCCCACCCTCCTCTCCTCCACTCCCCTTTCTCTCTCAAGAGGTGAGCTCTGGAGCCTATTGCTTCATGGGGACACCTGCTGGTCAGAGGTTCTAAGACATTTTAATTCAGAGAACAGGGCGGGAGGCACCCTCAAGCGCCAGCCCCATGGGAAGCCAAGAACGGAGCAGACAGGCCTGCCCTTGAGGTGCTTCTGGGCTTCAGTGTTGGGCAGACCTGGTTGGGATCTGGCTCTGCTTCCTCCTGGGCTGTGTGGCTTTGTGCAAGTTACCTAATCTCTCTGAATCCATGTCCTCAGCGGTGGAACAGACCCAAGAATAGTGCAGTCCAAGGTCTGTTGTGAGGGGTGAAGCCAAAACCCTGAATACAGTGCCCGCCCACGGCAGCGCTCCGTCTGTGGGCGGGATGCTGACAGGATCCCAGAGCTCTGGGATTTTAGAACTGGGAGAGACACAGCACCATCATTCTGAAGCTCTTCCAGTTCCTCACAGGACTGCAGCCTAGAAAACACTTTCCCATCTAGCACTCCCGGGCTCTCAGCCCAGATGCACGTTAGAGCCTCCGAAAAATACAGATGTTTCATCTATGTGGTGGAACGCTACACAGTTGGAAAAAATGAATGGCTAAGCCTCTGTCCCAATGGGGAAGGCTCTCCAGAACAGGACGTGGGAAGGTGGAGTTCAGAACAACCTGTCAGGAGAGCAGATAAGCACCCCTGTTTGTGTTTGCTGACCAAATCTCAGCAAAGCCCCAGGGGGGACAGGAGGTGGAGACCCCAAGGGAAGTGAGTTGTTTTTTTTTTTTAAGATTTTGAGAGTGAGCGAGGGAGCAGGCGGGGGGTGGGGAGAGGAGACAGAAGCAGACTCCCCGCCGAGCAGGGAGCCCGATGTGGGACTCCAAAGGGGACCTGAGCTCAACTGACTGTGCCACCCCGCTGCCACAAAGTGCGATTTCCTGACGTGGAGGCTCGTTATTTTGTTCTGCCCCAGCCATGGAGATGGGTGTGCCGGGGTGGGTCGGAGCGTGTGGCTGAGCAGCCCCTCTGAAGGGAGTGCCAGCACAGCCTGGTTCTGGGGGGAGGCCAGGGCCCAGAGGAGATCGAGCGTGGGTCAGGCTACTGCTGACCAGGATCCTCCTCTGCAGACCTTTTCAGGGGGCTATGTGCACGTGCTGAAGGGCGCCCTCTCGGAGGACCTCCTCCTCCAGAGCTTCCAGAAGATGGGTTACGTGCCCAGGGACAACCACCGCCTCATGATGGCTGCCCCACCACCCGCCTGCCAGCTGGTGCAAGTGGCCCTGGGCTGCTTCGCCCTCCGGCTGGAGTGTGAGATCCTGGGCGAGGTGCTGGCGCAGCTGGGCACCAGCGTGCTGCCAGCCGAGGAGCTGCTGCAGGCTCGGCGGGCCAGCGCAGACGTGGCCTCCTGCGTGGCCTGGCTGCAGCAGCGGCTGGCCCGGGAAGAGGAGCCGCCGCCTCTGCCCCCCCGGGGCTCCCCGACGGTCTACCAGACCCCGCTGGACCTCTACCGGGACCTGCAGGAGGACGAAGGCTCAGAGGAGGCCAGCCTGTACGGTGGGCCCTCGCCGGGCCCCGACTCCCCGCCCCCAGAGCTGGCCTGCCGACCGCTGCTCTGGGAACAGAGCGCCAAACTGTGGGGGGCCAGGGGTGCGGCCTGGGAGCCCCTAGAGGAGGCTGAGGTGCTGCCCCAGGCCAGCAGCCCACCCTATGGGGCCCTGGAGGAGGAGCGGGAGCGCGAGCCCGCGGCCTTCTCCTTCCTGACCCTGCGGAGAGAGCTGCTGAGTCAGCCTGGAGACTCGGCTGCCCCCAGAGCCCCAGGGAGCCCCGGGCAGGCCAGCGCCCAGACCCCCGGCTACCAGGCACACAGCTGCCTAGCTCCTGGGGCCCTGCCCGCCCTCTGCTGTGATACCTGTCACCAGCTGCACGCGCCCCACTGTGCCGCCCTGCCCACCTGCCGAGCTGGCCACGCGCTTCGCCCGCTGCTCAGCGAGGGCCAGCGGCGCCTGTGGCTGCAGCGTGCACAGCTGGACACCCTGCTCTATGACGGACCCGGGGCCCAGCCTTAGGCCCAGCCAGGCCCTGCCTCAGGGCCTTCCCGAGGCCGTTTCTGTGGTGCTTCTCTGGGCCTCAGCACTCCTCGGGCCTAAGCCCCCAGCCACTCTGCGCCCGGGGGACTCCTGGGCACAGCGAGGTGGGGCATCGGGCTTCACAAGGCAGAAGGTGGGGTCCTTCCTTCCATGGGAGGCTCCTGCATTGGCCTGGCCGCCTCCCTACCCCCTGCACCCAGCATCCAGGCCCGTGTCCAAACGTGCTGGGTGGAGGAGTCTCACCACCAAGCCTATGCCCAACGAAGGGTCCTCTCCCTTCGCTTTCGCTCCTTGCCCCATCCCACTGTAGGGCCCACCACTCAGGCCGTGGACCTGAGCCCTACAGTTGTCCTTCAGAACACTGCTTCCCTCCAAGTGTCCAGGGGAGAGTCTCTTCACAGGGGTGTCCCTGGGGGCCACTGAGCAGCACCGTGACTAGTCTGGGGGCTCTGCCAGGTACATGGCTGACCTAGCCCCTTGCCTAGAGGAGTCATAAGCCAGTGCTGAATGAGCTGAGGGCTGGCTCGAGACCAGCTGGGCCGGGAAGTGTGGTCCCCAGGTGGAGAAGAAAGGACCTGATCTCAGAGCAGAGTGAGGAGGCTCCCCAGACGCCCAGAGCATAGGCGGCAGGAGGAAGGACACAGGCAGCTAGTGGGGCCTGGATAGGCTGTGTCACTCCCCTCGTGGGCAGAGTGTGGGCTTCTGAGCAGTCAGCACCCCACGAGCCACCCTGCTATTGGCTTTCTGCTGCATGGGCTCTGGAAGGCAGGGCGGGAGGCCGTGCAGGCTTCGCACCTGAGAATGCTCCCTGAGTCCAGTGGTAAGGGTGTGGCCGAGCTCTTGAGCAGCCGCCTGCTAAGGCAGACTCTCAAGGCCAAGGCAGGCAGGCAGAGCCCCCTCCCCTGGGAAGTACTCAGCCACAGGATTAGAGGGGACGGGCGCCTGTCTTCTGTGCTAGCCCCTCCTCACCGGGCGCTCCGCCCCCGTGTCTACCCCACCTCCCCTCCCTAGCACTCGGAGAACCACCCTCATGTCCCATGAATCAGAATATTAAAGTTCATTAAAGGACACTGAACCTGCTCATACCTGTGAGAAAACCTTTTATCTCTCTGACTCATGCCCCTTCCCCTCTGGGCCTCAGTGTGGGGCAGGACGACAGTCCATCAGGTGGGATGCGACCCACAGCCGACCTCTCCTTCCCATTCTGAGTGTGTCAGCCCTGCCGGTTGGGGGGGGGGGCACACACCACGGCCCCTCCCTGCCCTGGACAGACCCTGGTGATCAGGAGGGGGCACAAGCAACCATGTGGGGTCTACGCATCCCAAGCCAGCAACACCCCCTGAACCGGGCCCAGCAGGCGTTTCCTCCATGGAAGGGAGGGTCCCAAGCTTTTACCAGCTGAGGGCGTGGCAACGTGTGCTGAATGAGGTCCTGCCCCTTCAGGGTACACCCACCCTGCATCATCCCCACGTCCACTCTCTGCTCTTCTGGGGAAGGGGTGTGATCAGCCAGAGCAGCGGGTCGGTCTCCGCGGGAGGACGAGCTGGGTCCCAGCAGCACCGTGAGCCTCAACTGCAGAGTCCCCATTCCATTGCTGTCCATCGTAGACGTGCCAGCCCGGCGGGGGGCTGTCAGGGTTTACAGCGCTTGCCCTGGCCCTCAGACGTGGCTGGGATGGCCCGCTTGTTGCGGTGGTGGGGGAAGGTGGGCATGAGCTCCGGCTCACAGGCTGCGGGGAGGAGTACCTTTGGGTCTGAGAACCCCACTGTGCATCCGTGTCGGGCCCAGGGGTCGCGTCTCCCTCTGCCCCCCTCAGACAACAGTCTGTGTGGCCAACGAGCACCCACGTGGGCTTCAGCATGCAGCCCCTGCTCCAGCCGGAAAGGCCTGTGCCAGGAGCCCACCCCACCACCCCCAGGGGCTCGAGGAGCTGTGGGAGGCCGTGCCCCGACACCCCCACCCTGGACAGAAAAGGCCACAAGACAAGCGCCCTGCGGGGCTCGGTGGGAGACTCACGCAGGGGCTTCTCCTTGAAGTACGAGCTCTCCAGGCCATCTCTGGCCGTTGCCCTGGACAGGAGGCCTCCGTGTTAACAGGATGGAGGCTGCTTTCCCGCACACCCACCCAGCTCCCCAGCCTCTGGTTCAAATTTCCTGACAGCAAAAGGCAAGTGGCCAGCAGGGGGTCTGGGGCCCAAAAACAGATGGGAAACTCAGAGTGGGCTCCATGACCTGGGTGGGCAGGGACCACCCACACTGGGAGCCTGGGCCTCCGCATCTGTCTGGGGAGGGGGGCATCTCTGCGGCAGCATGGCCAGAGTTCTGAAAACCCCCTTTCGAGGGCTCGGGTTTGAGGCCAGGTCAGCACCTTTTCTTGGGGTCATACATGAAGAGGAAGTTCAGCAGGCGCAGGCCAGCCTCCGAGAGCCACGGGAACTTGTGTTTGAGGTTGTTGTATGGCTGCTTCCTCAGGCTGTACTGACCCACCAGAGGCAGCCTGGAGAAGCCCTGCAGGGAGGAGGAGTTGAGCATGGGGGCTGGCCCGGGCAGGGGGCAGAGGGGGGCGGATGAGGGCAGAGGATGAGGGCAGAGGCCGGGCACTCACTGGCCAGATGTTCTCACTGGGCGTCCCCAGCAGCTGCACAATCAGGTCCACCTGGTGGATCTCGGATGTGCCGGGGAGAAGGGGCTTGTGGGCCAGCAGCTCGGCCAGGATGCAGCCCATGGCCCTGCAGAGGAGAGCAGGCCTTACCTCACGCACCTGCCCCCTGCTGCCACACACCTCTGCTGAGGCTAAGTGCTGGGGTCAGGACAGGGTGGAGCTTGGGAGAAGATCAAGATGGGACGTGACCCCGTCCCAGATGGCCTCTCTGGGTGACCACGAGGGCAGGGCCTTTCTTCTGTGGAAGCTACGTCCTCATGCTTCCTCTTAGGGATCCCAGGCTTCGGCCCTCCCCCTCCCCCTGGGGGCTGGGAGGCTGACAAAGACCCCAGCCCTGCTCCTGCCCCTGCGCGCCCCCATGGGACCCACCCCAGCCCTTCCCCCAGGCCCCAGGAGCCGCATTCATTTCTCACCACATGTCGATGCTGGTGGTCTGCGTGGTGGTTCCCAAAAGCAGTTCGGGGGCTCGGTACCTACAAACACAGGTACTCCCCCTCGTACCCTGCAGTGAAGCCTGGGCCTCCACCAGCCTTCCTGACAGCCTGAGGCAGCCCAGGCTCCAGACTGCCAACCCCAACTCAGACCACCTTGTCCTCCCGGCCCACAATCGTGGGTGACGCACATAGTAACACCAACTTTGCGGGGCGGCTCCTAGGACTCTGCCTTCAGCCCAGTCTACAGACACGGCTGGCTGACGCATGGCAGAAGACCTACGATTTCCTATCATTAACCACAGCCCTGCTCTGCTTCTTCTTGAAAACGTGTGTGAGAAAAACTACAGAAAGCTAAATAAACCTGCCCCACCCCACAGACAGAAGTCTGTGGAGCGACCTCTCCTTCCTGAGAGGGCTCAGAACCAAGCAGGGCAGCCCCCCCCGCCGTGCTGTCCTCCGGCCCTCCGACAGCCCTGCTGTCTCAGGAAGCTGTCCTAGACCCCCACCCTCTAGGAGTGTGTGTGGCCCTGTGTAGCTTCAAGACCCTCAGGGTCCTTCTGCTGCTTCAGCATGATCAACCCCCACACTTCCTCCACCAGGCACACTCATCCTGAGTGACTCACCAGAGTGTGACCACCTTGGGGGTCATGGGTTTCACTGGGATGCCATAGGCCCGGGCCAGGCCGAAATCCGCTGTGACAAAGGCGGAAAGGCAGCGTGTCACCCAGCAGGGGCTAAGAAGCTGCCGTGTGCGAACCAGCTCTTAGCCCCCAGGGAGCTGGCAGGCACTGACCTGCTCCCCCGCCCCCAGGGGCACTCAGAGACACCCGCCAAGCGCCGGCACCCAGCACCCACCTGTCTTCACACAGCCCTTATCGGTCATGAGCAAGTTGGACACCTTCAGGTCCCTGGGACAGAAAGGGAACATCGGTGATTCCCAGGACGTGAGCCCCACGGGGCAACTAGGTTGTCACCGTCACAGGCAGACTCAGAACGCTTTCCTACACATCCCCTGTTGGAACTTTTTTTTTTTTAAGATTTTATTTATTTGACAGAGAGAGACACAGTGAGAGAGGGAACACAAGCAGGGGGAGTGGGAGAGGGAGAAGCAGGCTTCCCGTGGAGCAGGGAGCCCGATGCGGGGCTGGATCCCAGGACCCTGGGATCACGACCTGAGCCGAAGGCGGACACTTAACCACTGAGCCACCCAGGTGCCCCTTGTTGGAACTTTTTAAACACAGCAAAGGGTAGGCAGCTGAGTGTACCAGTTCTCAGTACCTTTCTCAGGCCTAACACCCAGTCTTGTGCCCATTCCCCACCCAGGGCTGTACCAGCTGCCCCAAGACACGAGAAGCCGCTGCTTTGCACAGTCCTGCCCTGAGCCTGGAAGGTCCCCCACTTTCCTTGTGTCTGTGATGAGACTGCAGGACTTCTCAGAGCTTTGTCAGCTCCAAAGCAGGTGCTGTGGGGCCTGGATCCTGCCCCAAGGAACAGTTAGAGAACTGCATGGAGGCCAGGTCAGTTCTTCTCTAGGGGTTAGGACTGGCAGTCACCCTTCCCATGCGTCACGAACCTGCACTCCAGACAAATGTCCTCCAGGATCATGCCATCCCCACCTCCCCACTTGGGGCCCCTCCTACCTGTGGATGATGAAGTTCTGGTGCAAATACTGAAGGCCTCGGAGCACTTGCAGCACAATGCACTTGACCTACGCAAAGGGCAGGATGCATCAGTTAGATGTGCCACACAAGGACCTGGGACGGTGCCTCACTCCAGGCCCCCCAGGCTCACACCTGGGCCTCAGAGAAGGGTGTCGGCATGTTCTCCAGAAGGCTGGCCAGATCTTGCTCACAATAACCCATCACCAGAAAGATGCTGGAAGGAAAAGGGGAAGACACAGGGCACCTCCCACGTCCTCCCAGGTAGGCCAAAGGATTCTCCTGGGGTTGCAGGAGGGATGAACTCCATTTGGGGGGAGCACAGGGAGGGGGTTAGGAAAGGCAGGCTCAGCAGGGCCCAGTGCAGACGACCAGCAGACTGCATACCTCTCCAGGTGGTTCCCCACAACCACTTCCTTTAGCTCCACGATATTCGGATGGCGAAGGCGAAGGAGCAGTGTGATCTCTCGAAGGCTGCTGATGGGGACCCCTGCAGCCAGACAGCCTCCTCAGTGAGCCCCACCCCTACCCCTGCAGGGCTCTGCCCACAACCTCAGGGAGAATCAAGGTCACCTAAACATGCACCTTTTTTTTTCTTTAAAGATTTTATTTATTTGACAGAGAGAGAGAGAGAGAGAGAGGGAGAGAGGGAGAGAGAGCACAAGTAGGCAGACAGGCAGGCAGAGGGAGACGGAGAAGCAGACTCTCTGCTGAGCACAGAGCCCGCTGCAGGACTCGATCCCAGGACGCTGGGATTATGACCTGAACCAAAGGCAGACGCTTAACTGACTGAGCCGCCCAGGCGCCCCCTGAACGTGCACCTTTAACTCTTCCTTCATGCAACGATGCAAGGCAGCAACTCTCTGTATGGACCACTGTATAGGACAGGTGTCACCCAGGTCCAGAGTGAGCACAGCAAGGCCCTGCCTCCACGGGCAGCCAGGGAGGGGCTGGGGGTAGAAATCAGGGGTGTGTGGAGCACAGGGGCTACCAGCCTGCTGTTAGGCAGGGAGGGCTGGGTGGAGGGTGACGGCTGCGCTGAGACAGAAGGGAGGGCAGTACCAGACAGAGGAAGAAGGTAAACGGCATGGGGTTCAGGGGACCTAAGGCCTAGAGGAGAGGGGTGAGGGCGAGGGGCTGGGGAAGGACAGGACAGGCAGCGCCCCAGAGACAGGTCTGCTGTAACCCTCATGAAGATGCTCTCAGCACGAGGGCTTCGGGCCGGAGGAAGCCTCAGAGCACTGGCCCCGTTCTGCCCCTCCCACGTGAGCTCACCATCCTTCTCCTTGTCCATCCGCACCTTCTTCAGGGCAACAACCTCATCCGTCTGCGTGTCCCGGGCCCGGTCTGGAATGAAGACTCACCCGTGATGGAGTCTGACTTAATCCTGCGTCACACACCCTTGTGCCGTACAGGGGCCTCGTTCTGAACTCTGGGGGTCCCTCTCTCTTCTTCTTTAACTCGATGCCCAGTGACACTGGGTCCCAGCTGTGCCAGCAGCAGCCCCAGCCCCACTAGACACACGCTCTCTGGGGAATCCTCTCGACTGAGCTGGGTACAGGGTGCTAGCTGCACCAAGCTCCCTCTAAGTTTTCCTCCTTAGAGTCAGGATGCAGGTCATCGCTTTGCCTTCTGTTTACTACGTTCTAGCAACAAATAAGATACTTTATCTAGAAAAAAAAAAACCCTCATTTTGCGCAAAGGAGGCTCTTCAAGGCACTAGTGTGCGAAGCTTCCAAACCCTTCTCAGTCTGATGCACACCAATGTCACAGCTGCCACCCGCTGAAGCCCCGGCTGCTTTTGGAAGTTCTAGGTTCTGCTGTAACAGCTCCCTCCGCTTGTAACCACACTGGCAATCTGATGCTTACACCGATGGTAATTACACCACGGATTAGAGTTCACTTGTATAACTTCTGCCCTGGTTATAAAGCCATGGGTGTTTCCCTCCTTCCAGCCCTGACACAGCTACTGCTGGGACAGTCCCCCACGCCCGAGGGCTTCCATCTTGGCCACTCACACACAATGCCATAGGTGCCTTCCCCGATACGGTTCAGCTTCTCAAATTCCTTCACGCTCCGACACCGTCCCAGCTGAAAGGTAGAGGTGCTGGTAGTGCAGGGCTTGGGCAGCTAATGGAACAACTAAAGATAGATACTTCACGCTTAATTTGTACAAAGGAGCTCACTCACGTTGTGTTCACCAAACAAGGATAACCACACACTCGGGCTTTCAGATGAGAAAAGAGGGATGATGCTACTGGGTCACAGACACTTTGAACACAGTATCACAGACAGCCTGTTCCCATCCAAGCCCATGGTCCAGATGTATGCTGTCCCCAAATGATAACCACTGGCCATATATGGTTAACATTACGGTAAAATTTCACTTCCTCAGCTGCCACGTGTGTCATGCTCCGTGTGGCTCATGGTAACCATACCGGATGAATCAGAAAGCCACCTTTTTTTTTTTCTAAGTAGGCTCCACGCCCAACATAAGACTTGAACTCACAACCCCAAGATCAAGAGTCCATAGGAAGAAACATTTTCACCCTCACAAGAAGACTACCGAGCAGCACCAGTCTAGATTATGCTCTGGAGATGGACAAAGCTTCTACCAAACACAGTGGAAATGCTTCTGTGGCAGAGACTGACTCCAACATCCACACAGTATTTCCTCCTTTGAGTAGGAAACACTGCCCAGTGGCACGTGGCTACCCAGCTGGTATTTCCCACCGTTGTATTTTGCAGCTAGGTATGTCTATGTCTATTTGACTAAATTTTGGCCAATGGGATGTGAGCAGAAAGGACAAGGGCTTCAAGGAAGGGACTTCCCCAGGGGTGCCTGGGTGGCTCAGTCGTTAAGCATCTGCCTTCAGCTCAGGTCATGATCCCAGGGTCCTGGGATGAAGCCCCGCATCGGGCTCCCTGTTCCGTGGAAAGCCTGCTTCTCCCTCTCCCACTCCCCCTGCTCGTGTTCCCTCTCCCACTGTCTCTCTCTCTCTCTCTCTCAAATAAATAAAATCTTTTTTTTAAAGATTTTATTTATATATTTGAGAGAGAGAGAGACAGAATGAGAGATAGAGAGCACGAGAGGGAAGAGGGTCAGAGGGAGAAGCAGGCTCCCCGCCGAGCAGGGAGCCCGTTGTGGGACTCGATCCTGGGACTCCAGGATCATGACCTGAGCCGAAGGCAGACGCTTAACCAACTGAGCCACCCAGGCGCCCTCAAATAAATAAAATCTTAAAAAAAGGGGGGGGAAGGGACTTCCTGATCAAAGAAAGTTGGTTGCCGCCCACTCTTTTTGCCTCTGAAGCAGGGTGGGATTTGGGTGAGGTGCAGGTAGATCTACAAGACAGATAACTTGAGTTTATGGCCCCACTTTGCGGAAAATAGCTGCCTCTCTCCGAAATGTTAGGGGAGCGAAAATTAAGAGAGAATTTTGAGCCAGCTCTACGCCCAGCACAGAGCCCGACATGGAGCTCCCTTTCACAACACTGAGATCATGACCTGAGCTGAAATCAAGAGCTGGATACTTGGGGCTCCTGGGTGACTCAGTTGGTTAAGCATCTGCCTTCGATTCAGACCACGATCTCAGGGTCCCGGGATCGAGTCCCACACTGGGCTCCCTGCTCAGCGGGGAGCCTGCTTCTCCCTCTCCATCTGTCCCTCCCCCTGTTCATGCGCTCTCTCTCTCTAATAAATAAATAAAATCTTAAAAAAAAAAAAAAAGCATTGGATGCTTAACTGACCGAGCCACCCAGGCTTCCCTCAAGTTCTGTACTTGAGCCACTGTATTTTGGGGTTCCAGTCGAAGCAGAGAGCCTGTACCCTAACATACCTTCATAATGCAGGACGTCTGTAGATGGACTGAATGAGCATGTCTCCTTGGGTCTAGGAAACACATGCAGCAAGGTTCAGATTCTAACAGCCTCTCCCTGGCCTTGCTGCCTCCCATCTTCTCCTCCGTCGGCCTCCATCTCCTTCCTTCCTACCGCTCGGGGAACCAGGTCAGAATCGCCTGGACTGAGCCCGTCCATGGTCTTGCCTCAGCCTGCTCTCCCAGTTCTTCCTCACATTCTCTCTCCAGGGGGAACTCCTGGTGCGGCCTATTCATACTGTTTCTCATCTCTGAGCCATTGCTCCTGACATCCTGGGTTGGCTTGCCCGGCCTCCTTGTCTCTGCATATGTCAAAATCTAGTCCAGCAGGAATTCCTTCTACAGAAACGTCCCCCCAGCTGAGCACAGTTCTTCCTCTGAAGCCCCGACACGTTCACAGCCTGCAGCACGGGCTCGTGGGTGCTCCGCTGGGCGTCGGAGCTCCCCTGTGAGGTTGCCCGTCGCGCACTGCAGCACCGGGAACGCAGGGAGCACCTGCTGCGTATCTGGGGGATGGCCACCGTGCCTTCAGGATCCTTACCGGCCTCTCAGGGCACCGGTTCCAACGCAAGCCAGCCACCGGAGTTCAGACAATCACTCCCCACCCCAAGCTTCGCTCTCCCCATCTTTGGACTACATGACGCCGACACGCGCAGAGCAAGACGCAAACGCAAGCTGCCGGCTCTCGGGCGGGGCGCCGCCCGGCCCATTCAAAGCCCAGCGGCAGAGCACGCCGGCAGTCTCCCCACGGGGAAATTCCCTAGAGCCCGGGGCCTGCTCTTGCAGAGGCTGCAGGCTGCTGGACAGCGCCGGGCCCCTGGACTACATGACGCCGACACG